CGGCGTCTGGGGCTGTGCCCGCGCGTCGCGTGGTTGCTTTGGCGACGGCTCGGCTCGGCCCGAGGCCGAGCTGGCGCGCTCGAGGCTGACTCGCGGGCTCCGAACGACGCCCCCGCTCCCCACTCGCTCGATGGCACTCGGACGCGGCGAGGGAAGCGCCGACCGCCTCGTTCTGGGGCTCGGCGTCGAGATCCCGACTGACGCACGGACTCCGGGCTTGTGTTCAGGTATCCCGGTGCCAGACGCCGCCGCACGCTTGCGGAAGGACGCCATCAGCTCCGCCACATCGCTCCGATCTGAGGGCTTTCTGGACTGGTTCCGATGCTGTGGAAGGTCTATGTTCCACTCTTCGAGGCCGTGCACGTAGAAGGGCTCGGCCGAGAAGCAGCCCCAAGGCTGACGAGCGTCGTCGGCCTTGTGCGGTGTCAGGAGACCGATCACCGTCTTGGCTACGCTCTCCCTCTCGTCTGCTTCTGCATCCCCCAGCATTAGCCGCAGCGCCACCGCGCTCTGCTTGCCTCCACGCTTGAGGAGAGCACGACAGCCACTTGCACCGCCTGCTCTACCACGGACCTCGACACCGGTGTTCCGACTGAGCATGAGCTCTACCAGAATAACCTTGCTCAAATGGGGATGCTGCTCCACCGAGCTCTTGAAGTCCGATCGAACGAAAGAAAGGAACATTCGCTCGTTCTCCTCGCACGCAAGTAATTGCGCAAAGACAAGTACCACCGGCAACGGGCCATCAAATCCGCCTCGCCACGCCTGCCCCTCAGCCCCCCAGACAATCTCGCCGATGAGCTCCACCGTGGACTCAACTTGTGGTGCGCACTTTCGGTAGCACGCGATAGCTAAAGCAGCAAGATCCTCTAGGCCTGTGGTGGTCGTCTTTTCGACATCACTGCCCTCTGATTTTCTAGCCTCAGCAAGCGCCTGGAGCAGGCTTTGCTCAACATCATCGGAACCACGAAGGGCACCCATCGTCCGGAACACAGACCGAACGACGATTTCCATCTGCCCCGCCCGAGAAGTCGCAAAAAGCGTGCCTGCCTCTAGGCACTCTCGTCGCGGCTCCTGACGCCATTCTTTCAACCGCTTTGCGCAGAGCACAATGTCCGCTTCACTTTTTTCATCAATGGGGATGCGGACAATTCTCTCAGCCCAAGGATGTCCAGCTGCCGCGGCAGCTCTCCGCCCAGAGCGACAGTCTGGTTCGGAGGCGTCCGAACTCGACGATGCCATGAGGCCGGACGCGCGGTTATCAGTTTCCACACTCCTCGGTACACGGACGTACGCACGTCCGTTTCTTTCCATTAATTTAAGAACAAACGGAGCCTCTCCTATTGGCTGCTGAGGTGGCATGTGGTGAAGCCTCTGGGGGGGTCGGGACCCCCCCCCTAGCATGTGGTGAAGCCTCTGGGGGGGGGTCGGACCCCCCCCTAGGATGTGGTGGGCACCCCCCAGCAGTTCGTGGGCTAGGTAGGAATAGCCGCCAGAGAGAGCCGATTTTGCCCCCAAAGTTGTGAAATCGTGGCTGAAAGTCCAATATCTTGGAGAATCTGGCCAGTTCAAGGCTCATGTAGGTTGTAGCTCCAACGGATAAGGTTCTTCGAAAAATGCTGCGAAATAAGTGTAAAATCAAGGGCCCGGAGGGCCCTGACCACGGGGCATGACCCCCCCCCCCCCCCCCCCCCTTAGAATGTGGGGAAGCCTTGGGGGGGGTGGGGACCCCCCCCCCTAACATTTGGTAAAGGTCTTGGGGGCCCCCCCCCCCCCCCCTAGCATGTGGTGTGGAGAGAAGGGCGCCCCCCTCCCTGGAAGCGATGTGCGCCTGCTTAGGCTAGACAGAGCGGTGTCCGCGAAGGTTCCTCTCTTTTTGTTTGACCACGAATAATCATCCGCCGTGTTTCCATTTTCACTAACTTGTACGCGCGGTACATACACACATGCGAGAGAGCTCCCTCCACACTCCCGCCTCTCGGTTTGTGTCACACACACCACGCGGAACGCATCTCCATCCATCGCTTCGGTGAAGGGGGTGAACCGCGCCATCCTCGATCGCCGTGCAAAGCTCGCTTCCGAGCTCTCACGCCGCGCGTTAGGGCCTAGAGACCCCTTAGGGCCTAGAGACCCCCCCCCCCCCCCCTTCCATTAAGCTAAAGGTACGGCTAGTACGTTTGTTTATAGCTGCAGCCTCCCTCTCGGGCCTCGGGCCGCTCTATCTATAGTTGCACACAAAAGAGCGCGCCCATGTTTCTGTCTTCAAGACCCGTCCTTTTACGCGTCGCGCTCTAATACGAGCACCTAATCGCAAACAACTAAAACCTGAGGCAAAGTAGTGCTCATCAATAAGAGTTGCACCCACACGTCCACTAATATTACCTGTTGCGGCGTGCTTGCTATCCGGTGCCATGCTCGCGGTCTGGCTGTGGACTTTGAGCGCCTCGATCACGTATGCGTCCGCTTTGGTGTGCCAGGCGGGTACTTGCACGGACATCATCGCTGAGACTTGCTTCTACGATTCATCCTGTGGTGGGTCCGGCGCATCTCACGGCGGGCTCGGCTGCAATGCAGGCGGCAAAGATCTCTGCCGCTTCTGTGGCTTCGGAGACTATGAAAGGATACCGTGCCCTCTTCCCCTGCCGACTCGCTGCGGTAAGCCCACATGCACGATGTCGGTCCTGTTGAACGATGCGAATGGCCTTGCCTGTGGCCAGCGCATGATTTGGCTCGAAAAGTACTGGGGGATGACCGAGCTGGAAGCTTGCCACAAGGTTTCAGCCGAGGAGTTTCCTGTGGTGTGTGCCGGCTGCGCTGATCCCCTGACACCGCCTTACCCGCCGAATCTAGCTCCAACGCCTCCATCCCCACCATTCCCGCCTTTGCCGCCGCTGCCGCCCCCGCCTTCTCCGCCTCCCCCTGCAACCGCCACGGGTGAATTGTCACGCTCAAATCTGCCAGCAGAATACACTTTGCCTCTTGGGTGGATACGACTGCGCCTGACCTTAAACCCACCCATCTGGGACGTGGCGTACGTGGGAAGCACCCTCTTCGTCGAGCTGAGCCACCTCACGGCCCCAACTCTCGAGGCGACCCAGAACGCACGCTTCTATTGGCTGCGCACCGGAACCCCTGTTGTTTTTGACATGGACCAAGCCGCCTTCTCCGCACGCATGTGCCTGCCGCACTAGATGTCGCTCTCACCCGCCCCGTACCGCCTGCGCTCCGGCTTTGGGAGATCACGCCCACCTCCCACCCACTTGTGCGCGCCTCTTCCACCGCAGGTGCCTCGCCCTCATGTCGGGTCTGGACGCGGAGTTCGACTACATGCCACTGCTGGGGACGCTCGAGCCTGCGGCAACCCGCATCAAGTACACCGAAGGCGACGAGTGGGCGCCTCTTTCGTGTGCGACACCGCAATCAACCGTCGTGAATGGCGACCCTGCCCCGAGCGCATCCTCCGACTTTGACCCGCACCTGCACTTTGCGCACGGAGGCAAGGCTGACTTCCGCGGCCGTAATGGGGTCTACTACAACTTCTTCTCGGCGCCCGACTTTGCCGTCAATCTCCGCACCGACCAGGCTATCTTTGTGCAGCATGGGAGCAAGACTATCGTTAACGGTTCCTTCTTCACCGAGGCGCACGTTGTGGCGAGGGTCGGCGGCGGCGACGGTGGGCGCGAGTGGGCCAACGTCTCCCTCTGGGGGCTGCCACAGCTGGGCGGCGCGGTGCTCAACGGCACTTGTGGTGCCACACCCTTTGCGCTCACCAGCCGCGGCTACATGGACTGCCATGACCTGGCGATTCGCACCACCGACTTCTCTGCCTTCCTCCTCTTCCGCAACTGGAGCGTGACCATCGGGCGATACAAGGTGCACCGCCCCATTTCCGGCCCTGCGCACCGACTCGACGTCTCCTTCAGCGGCAGCGCCGCCGCCGCCGAACGCGCCCTGCCTCATGGCATCATTGGGCAGAGCTTCGCCTCCAAGCTCCCCCTCAACGGCAAGCAAGACAAGTACCCGAGCGACGGCAGCCGCTTCACCACGAGCGCGATGGGGGAGGGCGCGCTCGAGGGCACGGCGGCCATGTACGAGGTGCCCTCGTCCTTTGCGACCGATTTCGCCTTTTCACGCTTCCGCAAGGCGGCATAGTAGGCTGCCACCCCTAACAAACCAGGTATATGTAGCGGCGGGCCTCCCAGATGGGGGGGGGGGGAGGGGGGGGGGCAGCGGCACAGCTCAGTTTAGCTGAGTCAGAGTCAAATCTACGCCCTCGTGGTGCCGTCGATTATCGATGTACGATCTGTCCCGGCTCTCAGGCGGCGGGGGCACGGTTTTGATGTTCGGTGTTGGGGGGGAGAGGGCGAGGGGGGGGGGGGGGGAGGCCACAACGACAGTCGTCTCTTTCTTTGTTTGAGCAACTGGCCGGAGCAAGGCCGAGAGCCTGAGTCGAGGGGGCATGTATCTATCAATGTATCGAAGGTGAAGAACAACTCCAGGCCGCTCGAACTGGGGACACCAACGCGGTATGGGCACGCGGGACAGGAGATATGACGGCACGCTGGAGCGACACCAGACACACAAACTCACAAGACACTCAGCCAGCTGGGCTGCCCAGGGCGGCGAAAAGGGGGCGGCGAAAAAAACGGTAAAAGAGAGTTGCCGTTCTGTTGCCATCCCAAAAACTGTGTCACTCCCCTTTCAGCTTTCTCCCGGCCGGGGTGGGGCGCGCGCGGGGGCGGCGGGTGTGCGGGATGTCTGTGGGGGGCCGAGAGCGATGTGTAATGCGTGTGTCCGCCTGTTTGTTTCGTAACCTCGAAGGCTAGCTCAAAAAGAATTCCAGAATTTGCCGCGCAGTTCTGGCGCGAGACCGCGTGATATAACATTCCGATGAGCACTCTTCAGAACCTCGGACTGCGTAGCCGGAAGCGCCGTGCGTTGGGCATCGCTCCTGGAGACGGTGCCAAGAGCGTGGCGAAAGCTGCCAGACCTGCAGCGGCTCAACTGCCGCAATCAGCGACGCAGATGGGCCTCGTCACGATCGAGGAGCGCGCCGAGGCCAGAAGCGGCTCCGCAGAGCTGTCACACGTGGCGCAGGGCGGGGGTGGGTGCGAGCGCGAGGCGGACAAACCGGCGCAGTGCGCCCCGAGGCGGTCTGCGGCACCCGCCATGAGGGCGTCAAGGTCAGCTTCGTTGACGCCGGTCATGCAGTCGCTGGCACACGGCCTCACGCAGTCGAAGCTGCCCGCACAGATACCCGCACAGCCGGACTCGCCTGTCGCCACGCCGAGCGGCGATGCAGAGCGCACCCCGCGGACGGCCCGCGCCCCGCCTGCCGTCGCGCGTTGCTCGAGTCCCATATCGCCGCCTCGTCTCCCGGCGCACCTGCAGCAGATTGAAGAGGCCTTCATCGCGGTCGAGAGCACGCTCCTCTTCTTCCAGGGGAAGCGGGGCGACCAGCCGCTCTTCACCGCCCTCCAGCCGCACCTGCAGCGCGCGACGGGCCGCACTTTCCCGCCCGAGATGCTGCAGTCCATCCTGGGCGTGTGGCCAGAGGCGTACGACGTGACGGCGGTGTGGCCGCCTTCGAGAGGTCCGCGCATTCCGGGCGCGGTCGAGGTGCAAGACTGGCTCATCTGCTCGCCGTCGGCGCGAAGCACCCCGGCTCCCGTCTCGCCCGCCGACCTGGGCGCACGAGCGCAGGTCGCTCTCCTCTCAAATCCGGCGCAGTCGCGCACCGCGGCGACCGCTGCCGCCGCCGGGCTCGGCGCTCGCCGCGCGGAGATGCGCGCGCGGCTGCTGCAGCACGTGCACGCCGAGCAGGATTCCGCTCCGCCGAAGGCGCTGCTCCCAGAGCGGGCTCGCCGAGGCGGGCCGATCGCGCGCCCTCACCGGCCGCCTGAGGCAGGGGCGCTGGTCGCGCAGCCAGGTGCCGCGCAAGAGCACGCGGCTGCGCCGCAGGCATCTCGGGTGCAGGACGCAGCGGAGGCGGCCGCGGTGGGCTCGAGCAAGCCCGCGACGGACCCGAAGCTCGCAGGCCTCTCGGCGGCGCTCGTCGAGAAGATCATGCTGCGCGAGGCGGCGAAGAAGAGCGCCGCGGCAGCCGCGCCGGCGGTGCGACACGCCAACCTCCAGCGGCAACTTCCCAACATCGCGCTCGCCGTGCGTGCCGCCCTCCACCGCGAGCGCGGCTCGGAGTGCGCCGCAAGCGCTCTGCCGATGGCGCAGCTGCTGGACCGCTTGCGCTATCGCTTCGCATCCGCAAATATCTCGACAGAGGAGCTGCGGGAGCTGCTGGCGCTGCTCGGCCAGACGGCGCCGCAGTGGTTCTCGACCGTAGACACGGCCAAGGGCGCCATCGCTAGGATTCAGAACCGCGTGCCGTGGCCGTTCTGAGCTCGTCGCGGCGGAGGGATAGGCTGAGGACCAAGAGGGGACGCTCACACCGTTCACCGAACACGAAACCCATCACACGACACACTTCCATGTCCATGTCCATGTCCATGTGCCATGTGTGGCCATGTGTGCGGGAAGTGGGATGCGTGGCCATCATGGATATGTGGCGCGTGCAGGGTGTGGCGTCGGCCTTGTTGTTGTTCAGAGCTAAAAAACTGTTCCTGTCGTTCAGACCTCGCTAGACACGGAGGACTCGCTCACAAGACCTCATAATCAACACGACGTGATACACGTACTCACGATCTCGAAGACCTCTTACAACACGGCCGCCGCCGCGGCGAGTCCGCCTCTAGGCGTGTGGGCGCGCGCTGCCGCTGCCGCGCGCTTGGCCGTTGCGAGTGCCTCCGCATCCATGGGTGTGGGCGCGAGCGGCGGCGAGTAGTCCAAGCCGCTGCCAAACTGCCAGCCCTCGACAACGCGATCGAGCTCGAATCGTGTCTCTGGCGGCAGCAGCGGCGCGGCAGCCTTGGCGAGCGCGCGGCTCTGCTCCGAGCCGAGGGCGGAGCCGAGGACCATCGCGGCGAAGTGGACGAACCAGTCGGCGAGGGGGACGGGTCCGAGGCGGATAAGGATCTCGACCGCGGTCAGTGGCGCCGAGAGCATCAGCCCGCCGATTGTGAGCGCGAGGCCGTCGACGCGCAGCGTGTCCTGGAGGAAGGGGAGCATCACCGCCTCCCCGCGCGCCTCCATCACCTCGAACGTCGCGACGAGGACCTTCGAGATGAAGTCGGCGGACCACGCGCCCTGCTGCACCGGCGGGCGCATCGACGCCTGGAAGAGCCACGCGGCGCGCAAGTTGGCCTGGTACGGGTTGATCAGGCCCAGCTGGCCGCACGAGAGCGCGTCGGCGGCGAGAGCGCTCTCCACGGCGTCAGAGAGCCGTCCGATGTGCCTCGTGATAGCCCCAAATCCGCCGAAAGAGAGCGGGCTCTGCAGCCCGCCCGCGTCGCCGATCTGCATGACGCGGTCGAACTGGACGGGCAGCGGCGAGTCCTTGTACGAGGTGAAGAGCCCAAACAGCACTCGCTCCGGCGTGAGGTCGTCGAGGTCGACGCCCTGGTAGCGTGGAAGCAGCCTCCAGTAGTCCTCCATGATGTCCATCACCGACGGCCTCTCCGGCTCGAGCCCCATGTAGGTGAAGAGGTACGTCGTGCGCTGGGTCGCGCTCGCGCTCGCCGGGAACGCCTCCCAGAAGTACTGTGTTGGGCAGCCGGCGCCGCCCGCCGCGGGCTCGGTGAGCGTGTCCGCGAAGATGACGTCTCCAAACGTGTTCAACTCTTTTGGGTAGCCGTCTGCGCACGAGCCGACGACCACGCACACCCCGTCGGGCGGCGCGCCGCCGCGCACCTGCGCGACGATCGGCGATCGCTGCCCCATGCAGTCGATCAGGAGCCGCGCGCGCACCTCGCGCCCGTCGGCAGCGGTGAGCACCGCCGCGCCGGGCCGCACGCGCACCGTCGAAAGGGGCGTCCTCTCGAGCACGACTCCGCCGGCCGCCTCGAAGCGCGCGCGCGCGCACCGGACAAGCGCCTCTGGCCGGACGCCCACGTTGAGCACGTCGTTGAGCCACACGTCGGCGCCGCCCTGGAAGCCGCAGCGCACGGGGTTGAACTCGATGCCGATGACCTCGTCGAGCTCCTCGAGCGAGAGCACGCCCGCCTCCACGAGCTCCATCACCTCCTTGCGCGACGCGTTCCAGTCCTGCTCGCGCCCGCGCAGATCACCGCCCTCGAGCACCGCCACCCGCAGCCCGCGCAGCACAAGCGCGGTGGCGAGCAGGATGCCGATGTTGCCGCCAGCAACGACGAGATCGTACTCTGCCGTCTCCACAGCTGCGGTGGGCTCGTCGAAGACGACCTGCTTGGCCGGCGGAAGCTCACCGGCGCGCAGCCTGCTCCAGGCGTCGTCGAGCCGGAGCAGCGCGTCATACGTGGTGGCGCCGCCCGCACCACCCGTCTGCACGTTGGGTGGCAGCTTCGCCATGAGCTGCTCGGTGAGCGTGGCGGCCATCATCGTCGGGCGTGCGCGAGGCGTGTACGTTGGCGAGAAGGCCGCGGTCGCCGCCGCGAGAAGCCGAAGTGTGGCGAGCATGGCAGAATAAGTGCGCGGTGGATAGAGAGACACACTTCACACCCATACCGCGTTGGTGTCCAGTCCGAGCCTGACTGTTCTTCACCTTCCTACATATGTATGTTCGTAGTGGCGCGATTGTGCGTCAGGCGAAAGGCGAGCGCCGGCGGAAGGTGGCACGCCGAGCGTGTCAGCCAAGGGAGGCGATTGCGCGTCAGGCAAAGCTGTTGTTCATACATACAGCCTTGTTATTGAGAAGAAAATACGGCGCGTGGCGCTGTGCGCTGGTCTGTGAGAGGTTGAGGTGCGAGCCCTGGAGGCCCTGGGATGGGGGTATTCACACATGCATGCATCTCTCGAGGTTCTCGAGGTGGATATCCTTTGGCCGCGTTGGGTAGCATGCATGCATGGGCATGCATGCACAGACACACAGCGCCTTCCCCTTCCCCCTCAAGACCTTCCCAAGGGCGAGGACACGCGCAGGCCGCACCTCTAGTGAGGGAGGCCCGCATAGTATGTATGTGGGTGACTCGGCTGCCGCCGCCCCTGCCACCCCTGTGTCAGTGTGCCTGTGGTAGCGAGAGACTGCCAGCGAGAAGCTGGAGGCAGGTCGCTAGACTGAGATGAGACCGCCAGTGGAGTTGGGATTCCACCGTGCACCGCGCTGGCGAGCCTGTCGTGTCCCTTGTCAGGAGCAGGAGAGCCCCACCTGTCCCCCTGATCGTCCTTCCAAAATCCTGCTCGTGCAGGTGGGGACCCTGTCCTCCTCCCCTATCCCTCGTTTGGGTTGTCTGTTTTCTTTCTTCCTTAGAGAGGAGAGAGATTTGTTTGCCTCGTTGGTGCTGGTTGTTACGAGAGAACGACGAGAGTGGGACGACCGCGAGGTGGCATGAAGGTTGCAGCGAGAATCGGCGAGAGACTGCGAAGAGAGGAGAGGCGGACGCCCAAGGGAGAGAGAGAGAGATTTTTAGAAGCCAACAAGAAATGTGGCACACACAGTGATTTGGGCTCGGCAGCTTGTCGACTACCAGCCGAAGCCGGAGTCGGAAAACCGTAGCCGAGATGGTCGTCGAGGGTGTCGAATATGTCATTCGCCTCGCTAGCTTCTCTCCCAAGGGTGGGCGACGGCTAGCGCATCACACCCCTCTCCTTAAAATCCCTGTGTGGTGGCGGCGTGCATTCCTCCCATCCCTCCCTTGGGTTGTCTGTTCTTTCTTTTTTGTGCTGGGCTGTGTGTGTGTGTGTCATTTTTGTTTCTTCTCCCCCTCTCACAACACGAGCGAGGCACGGGACTGGCGCGCACTGGGTACCTAAGAAATGGCTTCGCGAGATCGCGCCACTCCCTCCGCGGTCCCCGCGGGCGGCAGCGTGGCGCGGGACGAGACACGGGTCCACAGCTCGAGGTCGTTTCGCAGCATCTTCCTGATCGCTGCGCTCTCGCCCTCCGGCAGGGTCGCACCCCCTCCGTCTTCCCGGTACGCCTCGTCGCTGACTTGCGTCGCCAGCCAGCGATCACCCGTCCACGCGGCAAACCGCGCCAACGGACGCTCGGCCTTGAAATCCACCTCGTACAGCATCACAAAGACGGATCGGAGGAAATAGTCGGCGAGGTCGACCGGAGAGCGCAAGCCGCTGTACTCGGGACCGAGCATTCGGAGACCTTTCGGCGCAAATGTTTGCGTATACACGTCGCCAAAGTAAGCAGCGTACGCGGTCCGAGTCATGTTTGGGCATCTCAGCCGCTCTGGGTCCTGCCATCCTCGACATTGTCGCCCCCCCTCAGCGCATCCCTCGCAAAAGTAGCTGTAGCTCGACAGCAGCCGGCTAATTGGGTGCCGCAGCAAGGTGATGTAGCGGCAAGGACGCGGCACTCGTTCGCAGTACTGAATCGAAGGCGTGGCGCCATCGTGAGTCGATGCGAACAGGGCGACGACATCACCGTTCGCGACAGAATGGCACGAGCCGTCGGCGTCCGTCCGACCTCGCGTCTCGGGATGGCACGGCCCCCCGCCGAACGTCCGCCAGCCGTACCGTGCCGCACGTTGCGCCAGAATGGCCTGCACACGGCCGAATCCGGTCTGGTCGAACGCGATGAATGCGTAGACCAGCCCACGCGTATCAGCAGTCTTGCGCGCGCCACTGTACGTGCTTCCACCAACACCGCGGCTGCCGCCATGCCCGCCAGCAAAACCGTGCCCGACTCCCTGAGGAGTTGCAATCACCGCGCCCGACGCGAGCTGTGCTTCGAGGGCGGAGAGCCGGTGCTCGACGGCTGCGAAGCGTTCCTCCATTTCGGTGCGCTTGAGTGAATTGGCATAGTCCATCCTCTCAAGGCTGGCTCCGCTTGCAGTCACAAAATCGTCGGCGCGCATGGCTGGCGCTTGGATCGCGCAGGAGCTGTTGACCGAGCCTCCGTCCGCTGTGAGCAGGCATCCCGCCATCTCCAGGGTCGCTTCACATTCCCCCTTCATGAATCGCATCGCGAGGTGGAGCAGTGCGGACAAACGCCGCAGCATCATGATTGTGGGTGGGGCCGGGCTCGCCAAGTTCTGAATTCGAGCGCGTTCACGGCTAGGTTCACTGGGAGTCGCTTCGTTTGCGGTCCCTGTGAACCTGTGATAGGTAGGCAGGGCGGGGTGCTTAAAAACTCGGCACTTGCTTGCTCCAAAAGTGCCCCCGCTTCTAAATCAGAAAGAGAGAGAGAGAGTTTGTTTGTTTGTTTGTTTGTGCTAAGCAGCGCTCTCTCTTCTGTCTGATATTCCCACAGACAGACA